CAAGCTCTTCCAGTGTGGCCAGCCACTTCACTCAAGCAACACTTGTGGTTCGCTCGTAGCGATGGGTGGCTGGGGTGGGCTTTCACGTGCCTTTTATTATGCTGCTGCTATCTACGTTGCGTCTTCGTGCTGCTGCCACAGTATTATTGTCGTCAAGTGGTTTCTATCTGGTGATCATCAAGCGCCCATGACTGCGACACAACGCCTGACTACTTGCCACCGGACACAAACCTCGTCTGATGTATCTACGTGAGCTGCTGCCATGACACTCGTGGCACATGCTACTACAACCTGGTCGTCTATGGAGCGACGACGTCGCGTCTCCCACCTTCTCCATCCAGTGCCGGTGAAGATGCCAGGATGATACACGCCCAGCTGACCGAGCGCGGAGTGCGGTGCAGTGACTGGAGTAACAGTGGTGTTGCGATCGGCGTCGTACGGTGAAGCTGCGTACTACGGAGTTTGTGAGCAAGGCAGGATTGTTATAGGTGGTGTCGCTTGTGCTGCTGTTGCTGTCAGCGCTAACGCAATCTCCGTCTATCACACTGGCGAAGCTACTGTATATCTAGCACTCGCGGCGCCTACATTGCACCCATGGACACCATATCTTTGGGTTACAGCGCTGAGCCCACTGCCAAACCAATACCTGATACCTTCGCGCTGTCCGTGCACTGCAACACCGTGTTACATGTATTCTGCCCTCCAATGCGATCGACCGCCAATGTCACTGCCGACTTGAGACCCAAGCCCAAGCGTGCTCGCCTCTTCCACCGCCACTGCCGGAGACGACACCGAGACCGACGTCTCGTACGTCAACTTCATCGCTGTGGTATCCGTGCCATGTTCTAAGTGCTCATTGCTGTCTTGACCGCAGCGACAACGAGTTCTATTGCCGTCGTGCATGCGGCGCAGTTTAAATACGAGCAATGCAACATGCGGCATACTGCAGCACTCGATGAGGCCGCCGCTGGTCTCACGAATATGACGCTGCTGCGCCACATCTGATGCCGTTTTGCTCGGGTTGACGTACATCTACACGGACGACGCGGATAACTAGGCGTGGAATCGATGTCCACGAGGTAGACCGAGCCAAAGTGATAACAATTCTTCACGGCGTCCGTGCGGAGGCGAGACAGAGGACAGAGAGTGGTGACGCACTGTCAAAACAATCCTCGAGCAACTGTCACAAAGCTGGTCAAATACTTGGTCATGTCAGAAATGACACCGTTTTCGAGTACTGAGTTAGTCCAATCTCGACTGTTCTTTTACGGAGTGTCATGAGGATCGGCAAAAACCTCGTTTGTAAAAAACCTCGTTTTTGTGGTACACACACTGTAATCGCAGCGCGATTTTCACTGTACAGTACACTCGGATCTGTGCTAGTGTCGACCTGTGTTACCGTCGGATGTTCCGGCCCTCTAAATGCGTACGAGAGACGCTCAATGTCAGTTGCTGGCTGACCAGCAGGATGAGGGAGATTTCGAGTGCTGATGGATCATCGAGCGAGCGTCAGAATCCCTGTTGCAGTCAGCACTTACCTTGCGGTGGCACGAAACAAAGACCAAGGACTGCTGCAATTTGCAGGATAGGGGGGAGGACACAAAGACACTGAGCTCTAGAGACAGCACAAGTGGAACGGATCTCACTTCTCGTCTGACGTTGGAGAGAATTCTGGCTACGAGACGTCAGCGATTCCTGAAATCAGCAGAGATTGATCACTATTGCGATGGCTTACACATGACGTGAGCATTGTTTTGTCACCCGTGGCACCTTCGGACGATGTCCGGATCGGACAAGCTGCTACGGTTTTCGTGGCTTACGCCAATGGAGGACTTTGTTCGAGCTAAAGACTGGGGCCGGTCGCTAATAAGACACGCGGTCAAAAGTGTCGATTTGACTCCAATCATCAACTAGAGAGGCGCGTCAAGAACGGAGAATTTGACCCAGTCGAAGACGTCGAGACGATTAGGTGCTTTGTAGATTCTTCTGGCGCTGGGTGGATGTCATTCAGCTACCTTTGCGGTCGTGTGGGAAATTTTTGTCGCCCAAGGAACAGTCGGCACAAGAGACTATGGCACGAGGTCTTGGATAGGGCGCGGAGGACAAGGCTGCACATGCACTGTACCGTCAAAGTACAAGAGCCGACACTGGTGGGGATGGAGGTTGGTGGCAAGAGCAAGCGATCGGATCCTCGTCACTCCTGTGGAGTTCTACAGTACAGTAGCTCTTTGTGGTGAGGCTGACAAGGAAACTGTGTGTGCGAGTGGTGATTCGTGCAATACTGCTAGATATGCTGCTGCTAACGTTGCTGCAAGGGTCGCCAGCTTCTTGATAATATCTCCATCTTCTATTGCGTCAAAGACCCTGCACTCTCGTTTCACATCGTGCTTCGAACGTCAAGTGTACTGCTGGTGACGTGGATTTCTCGGAAGGTTTGACCCGAAAAATGCTGCTTGACCTGTTTTCCGCGAGTGTGCGGAGGGTGCAACGTCGCTTAAGACTCGCGAAGATTCCGCATTGAAGAAGGCGAACGACGCGTCGAAGTTCCAAGCACACGGAGGAGGCGAATGCAGAAATTTGCTGCCACTGTAACGGGACAAGAGCATAGGTGTGCACAGAGTCGCGGCAGGCTTCATACTGACCAGCGTCGGCTCTGGCTACAAGACGCAGGCAGGTGAGCCCACCTCTGGTGAAGCCGATGGTAGCACGCTGGATTGGTGTGTAGAAGGGAGACCGCGTCAAGGGTGATGTTAAAGAAAAATAATACCTTAGCTAAATGTACTGTACGGTGGGTGTAGCTGCACCCATGAAAGGAAGTTAGGCTTTCGACTTTAAACAAGAACCATGTTCTGAAAAAAAAAACATTTTTATGCAAAAATTGGCAAAGGACAGTGGACGATGTCCTCCCACGATAGCGGAGATCAATAAAACTTTTAGAGCAGCACAAAAGGCCTTTCAATCCAACGTATCAGCTCTTATGTGCAGCACGAGTTTCTGGGGACTGCGGTCACCAAACCAAACGACGCTGTGGGCACTGGGGATACTGGGACATCATTTCACAGTTTTCATGTTACCCGTGGCTGAGTTTGTCCACCGGATTTTTTTTATAAGAGGTCAGCCAAATCTGTTTTTAGTACCAAGTGGTGCATTCATTTACGTATGGGTACAGGCGAAATACCACCTTTTTCTGTGAAATAAGAAATGGAACTAGTGATAACAGGTCAACCAAATTAAAGAAGCCTTAAGAAACATTTTTTTTCAGTATGATTTTATACTTAAGACTCACATAAAAAGTAAGAGGTTTTATTTAGGTTGAGTGCCACTTCCCACATAGTTCTTGGTAATTCTTTAAGAATGGCAAGCAGCTAGACACTGTGTCTGTTGCCTCTAGGAATCAAGTATTTAGCTTCGAATGATGCAGTTATAATACGTGTAAATTGACGCATGCCATCAACTTCTGCTATACGAATCTGCATCCTGTTGCTCCTATCATCTACTTCAACTTTAGTCTCATATTTAATGCACGTTGGCTCTCAAATGCTGTTGGTTGTATGCCCCGGTCGGACATGTCAGATGAAATGAAAACATGCGAGTGGTATATCCCCATCTCGAACTTTGTAAGAAGGTATACACATTCCGTGTGACTTCGACCCGACATGTTGGAGTGGGGCTTAGAGGACAGGCGAAAAAATATAGACCCCCGTACTACTTCACGATAGTTGTCGGTAATCCTCGAGCTCTCATATTTCTAGTGAAGATGTCGATACGGCTTGCACGAAATCTATTAATTATACTGTACCATCGTTTAGCAAGCAGTCGATATTTTACAAAATACTTATCTCGTATAACCCAAATAGTCTCTGGATTTTAATCCAGGGATGCCAGGTCAAACATGGTGATGGGCTATTCAGCAAGGCATGAAGTGGCTCGAATGTCTTTTGTAATTAATTAACCAGGTACTGATAAAAGTATTGAAACTCAGTCGTGTTGTCCGAAGATGAAGTGTGCCATAGTTGATCGCGCATGTACGACTCACTCCACATACGGGACACCTTGGACTCGTACGGGTTCCCAATGTAGATAAGAAGCTTAGTACGACATGCAGCAGCTCCTAGAGCGTCCTCACTAATCTCCGACAGGAGCCTCAACAGCTCCACAATTTTTGCGTAGAAACGAGGTTGCGCCAGTCTGGTGCGTTGATGGCCTCCGATCCGGACACTAAGCATCCGTTCGGGCCCAACAGAACCCTCAAACTTGGTCACATGACAGAGCCAGTCGAAGATTCCTTGTCCAGTTAAACGCACAGCACAGAGATCGATGACAGTGAGGTACTTGAGACTCGCAAGAGCAGTCAAAGTACGGTCGGAGAGCTCTTTGACAGCCTGCACACTGAAATTCTGGTGGTCGGACGCGTCTATCATCTCGATGGACTCGAGAAGCGGACAGTGCTCCGCCACTGCTTCCCAGAACTCGTCTCCATACACTGCCGAGTAGAGGTAGTGCGTTTGAGGTTTATTGTTCTGGCGGCAATCGATGTCGATCGAGTGGTCAGTTAGAGCAGGACATGCCTCAAAAACAGCGCGAGCGTCACTAGCAAAGACGCCATAGCCCGACGGAGTAGTCACCTCTTCGACCTCAGATTCAGCTACGTCCACTGCAGTCTCGGACATATCGATCGTACCTCCAGCTCATGCCGGCAGAGAGTGATAGCGATTGTTACTTGGGTTTCACGTACTCTCCAAACACGCGGAAGAATGGATCAGCAAAGGGCACGGCAAACCAATGAAAGCTCCGCAAGTTGGAGCATTTAGCATTGAACGCTCGCCACGTTTCGAGGGAGATGGTCCACATCTCAGGGTAGTGGACATCTGAGTACGATATCACTTTCCGGTATCCGTCGAGGTATTCGATCTTTGGACAAAAGGTGGTCACATTCTCAATGTACTTTGTGCTTCCATGATAGCGGTCCGACTGGCTCCTTAATAGAAGTGTAAGTTGCTTCAAGCCTCCAGTCGAATCCATCTCTCCATAGCTGCATACAACGTCGTCATGACCTTGTCGATGCTTGGACCGCTCACTGTGCTGCGCTTTTCTAGATTGCGTGGTAGAATCAGGAATTCCAAGTGGCGACAGTGTGACGCTGTAGCCTCCAGGATCTCCGGGATATGTTTACTCAGTAGTGAAATCTTGGCTAACTCGAGTCTCTTTAGACCTATCGGCCACTGAAACACCTCGTGTTTCAACACTTTGATGCATTGCTGCAATGTCTCCAGGTGTCGCGGAGTCTTCTAGTGTCAAATTCATTGTTGTCCTTTGAAAATTCGATCCAAAACTGCGAACGGCGTGTAAAGTACTTTTGCATGCCAGCGCCACGTCTTGCAGACGTTCTGAAGACGCCAAGTCCTGCGTGAAGCCGTGCACTGCGAACTCAATCATGCGCGCTAGCACGGGAGGCGGGAGCGACACCAGGCCTCGGCATCTTCGATTTTTTCAGTCCAAGGATCTGGAACCCTTCCCAACTTGTTACTTCCGTATTTTTCAGGATAACTTTTATTTTTGTTAGCTTTTATAAAAAGTAAAACAAAAACGTTTTTACATACTGAACTTTATTGTTTTTGCAATAAATTTCTAACTCTGGAGTATAACCTCTGACAGTTTAAAAATCCAGCAAAGTAAATCCATTAAACCCCAAGTCAGTTATTAAAAAAACCACCAGTTTCTGAACATATGACTTCGACGCTGATGGCGCTCCCGCCGCCGATTCTTTCTACCATCGTCTTGTTTGCCGTCGAAGGGCTCAATCTGGACTTGGCACCTTCAAGACTAAGTTGCCGGTCAATCGTCTAAGAGATGTGGCGCTGGTGTGCAAAGCAACACACAAAATAGTGGAGAGAACATAAAGAAAATCTCCCGGAACGAAGCATTTGGAGCTACTGGACACCATCGAACCCGAAGAGCTCGACGAGATTGTACAAGGATTTCGAGAAGACGAAGCGATCATACGCGACTTTCGACTCGGCTTGGGCCCGTACGAGCAATGTGAAGGTACCTTCGACCCAAGGAACTTCAATCCACACGAACCAGATCTAGGAGATCTAGATCAAGCGGCTCTTGACTGGGACGCCATGTTCAGCTTCATATCTGGCCTCAAGAGAATAAATCTGTCAGAAATTCCTCTTTTAAGTCGACACCTCCCTGGAATTCTCAGAGCTGCATCGAGACAATGTCCACACCTGGAATTCCTGCTCATGCCGAGGAAAGAAGACTGTTTCTTCGTAGTTAAAGAACCCCAAATTTAAGACTTACCGGCGGCTCTAACTGCAGGTGGCTCTCTGCTAGAACTTGTGGGGATTTAAAGCAACTCACTATGCCTACATGTGACGAGGGTAATGAACACAGCAGCACACAGTACATCGAGGCTGTGACCACAATTTTGCCCGGAAGCGAGTACATTGACGGATTTATACAAACCGTGGCGGATAGCCAAGAAGAATGCCTCGATATGTGGTCAATCTCACTGAAAACTTGGCAGGATTTTAACGCCTCTTGCACAGCACGTACCCTTCGGCGATCCATTCTTTCGTGTGTTTGGGGAGCATGTCAAACCCCAACTGACGACTGTCACTAACCGCAAATTTGCGCTGGAGCTACGAGCGCTATCTCCGCCATTATCATGGCTCTGCAACGAGAGAGGACGAGTGGGATACCCACCCGGACTACGGTACTTCTTGTCATTATCCTGGCGAGGCATTACGAGGATGCCCCGCACTGAAAAAGCTGATTATTGAGATCGACTACTCGAAAATCCAACACCGAAAGGTGGACCCATCTGTGTATGGGGGTGAGTTCTGGACAGCTGTGGCTAGACATTGCCCTAGACTGGAAATTATTGATATGGTGGACTTGTCGATGCATCCGCTGTTCAATAAGAGACCTATCCAAACGTTGACGAAACGTACCCTCGTAACCCTTGCTGGGATGAAGTGGTTACGCTACTGTACCCTTGCTCCAGCTCGTCTCTCTGGTTTTTGAGTATCTGCTATGCGTCGTGGGGTCGGATAGTTGTGTATCGAAACGCACAATTGACATCAGTATTGGAGGCCACGAGAGTAACAGACGAGCCAAGTTTTACCGAGAAATTGCAACTTTTCTTAAGCTACTCGCAGAGACAAGTGACGAAGAATTGGGCGTGGCGTCGAACCCCGTTTTGATTCTTACCAACCCGTACAAATCCAAAGTGAGACAGGATTGGTGTGAGGAATACATGCGCGATGAACTATTGCCGCTGTTAAGGGCTGTTGCTGAAAATCATCCGTCGCTGACAATCCAAGTGCCGATGCTAAGCGAGGCTTTGGTCGTAGATTAGGTACTTGGACACGCGAAATTGGTAGACAAAATTTGCACTTGCTGCTTCCCAAGAATTATTGTTAAAATCGGAGAAAAAAACATTAAAAGAATTAAATTAAAAATTAAAAAAGATTAAATACTTTTTAATTAGAACTCAAACGGACAGCTGTCTGATTCGTATAACATTGGCTCAAACAGTAAATTAGTCCACAATTTGGATCTGGTGAAATGTCGAATTTGTCGTCGCTGCCGCCGTCTGTGCTCGCGCATGTGCTGGAGTTCGCAGTCTGTGGCGTCACTCAGAGCTTGGCACCTGCAGGGCGATCATTGCATCTCGACGGTGTGAAAAATGTGGCGCTGGTATGCAAAAGCACTTTGCACTCGGTTCGTAGTCTGGTTTCTGTCTTTCGAGCTACGACGATGAGTCTGGCACTAGAAAATGAAGCGACAATTGTAGACGTAGAAACAATGTACCGACGCGTTGAGATGCACGGAGTAGATGTGACCGATCTTCGTATTCGACTGGGGGAATATACGCGTGAAGGTCATCCGTTCATGGTTTGGAAGAACGCGGAACCTGGAAAACTGGAGAAAGTGGCAATCGAGTGGAACGCAT